CACGGCCTGAGCCCCGGGGACACACATGAGAGCTGAGAACAGGAGCACTCACGGCGCTGTTGAGAGGGAGGATGAAAGAGGCCATCTCCTCCCGAGGGTACCCAGCGCAGAGCAAACACTAACACACGCCACTCGTGCTATCAAGCTTGCGCTGGAGGAAAAATCAAACGCTAAGACATTTCAGAGTAGTTCTTCCTTTTTTTCTTTTTTGAGTGCTAAGGGAATTAAACTGAGCACCTCATGCATACAAGGCAAGTGCTCTGCCACTGAGCTACACACACCCTTAGCCCTAAGAGTGATTGTATTTTTGAGACAGGGTCTCACTATGCAGTGCAGGCTGGGCTTGGACTCACTATGCAGCCCAGGCTCGCCCTGATCCTCCTGCCTCAGCCTCCCAAGTGCTGGGATTACAGGCATGCACCACCACACCTGGCTCAGAGTGATTTTTTTTTTTTAAATCAGGAAGCATATTCTAGTACTAAAGAAGACTAAAGAGAAAGAACAATCTTGTAATTAAATTAGTTCTCACTCACTGTTAGAAGCCAAATCGAAGGAATTTATGAATTAAAACTATGTTATGCCAGGCATGGTGGTGCACACCTGAAATTCCTGGGCAGCTTAGCAGCTTAGTGAGTCTGTCTCAAAAACTGAAAAAGAAAAGGACGGGGAATGTAGCTCAATGTGAAGGCCCCAGGTTTAATCTCTAGTACAAAAAGACAACAAGACAAGACAAAACCAAAACCAAAAGCAGAAAAACACTACTGTAAAATTCTCCCATGTCTTAACACACAGAGGACACAGGCAGAGGTTCCAGGGATGAGTCGCTGCTCAGTGCGTCGAGAGGTGCCGAAGATGGGGAATCACACAGCATATTTTCTCTTGGGGGTGAGGTTGAGACAGGGTTTCACTCCGAAGCCCCAAATGACCTTGAACTTACTATGTAGCCCAGGCTGGCCTCCAACTCAACCCAATCCTCCTGTCTCAGCCTCCCAAGTGCCGGGATTGCAGGTGTGCGTCACCATACCCACATAGTAGACCTTATAAAAGACAGAATGTGTCTAAGAAGAAAATACACAATTGTTTTTAATGCACAATTCAAAATTCTCTTTCAAGGGCTATGAAAGGTTTGAACTACATCCAATTGCGAAATGTGAGAGTGCCAGAGACTGTCCCTTGGAGGAGGCAGATTCAGGGCACTGTGGCAAGTATGTCAAAGTACAGTCTTCTGGTCATCCTGCTTGTGAGTTTCTGGATCCAGTACCTTGTAGCTGCAAGGGGCTGGACTTCGTTACCTGCTCATCTGAGCTCACCTTGGCCTGTCCGGGGATGGGCTGAGGCTGCGGGGAGGAGGTGTTCGAGGCACAGCTGGCTTTGGAGCGATGCTGGCTGCAGGAAGGAGGCCATGGACGATGTGTTTCTGTACAAACAGAACCCTGCAGAAGTCACCAGGACAGGAAAAACCACCACCACCACCAAGGAACCCAGCCTCTCGCCACGCACAGGCACAGGGACAGCTGCCACCATGGTGGCCCCTGTGGGGGCCTTCTGTCTCTCCCTCGTCAGCCTTTTTTTTTTTTTTTAAATGTATTTGGTACAGGGTCTCACTACAGAGCTTGGACTCATAGTGATCCTCCTGTTTTCAGCCTCCCCAGCACTGGGATTAGGGGTGTATACCACCATGTCTGGACTTGGTGGCTGGCGCAGTATGTGATGTGGGGATCAAACCCCAGTCCCTGTGCCTGCCTAAGCTGTCCTGCCAGCCCTTCTCTTCTGCTTTTCTGAGCATCCCCCAGAGTCACCCTATAGCCCCTCTGCTTGTTCCAAAACACTAGCTGTAGTGGTGCTTCCCAAGCCCTCCCCTGCAGTAGGAATGACTTCCTGAGAGACAGGCGCCTTCATCTATCAGCTGCAGAACTCTAGCACTGTGCCCAACCACCCACACCTGAGAGTAGCTTAGGAATGATTTTTTAGGTGGCTCGTCTCCCAACCACCCACACCTGAGAGTAGCTTAGGAAAGATTTTTTTTAGGTGGCTCGTCTCAGAGACGCAGAAGAAGAGCCAGGCATGGTGTAATCCATACACTCTGGAAGGCTGAGGCAGGAGAACTGGAAGTGTGAGCTTAGCCTGGGCAAATGTAGTGGTTGACACATTGTGTCAACTTGAGAAGTTCTTAATGAGACCCTATCTCAAAATAAAAAAGATTTTGTAAGCACAAGGTCCTGAGTTTAATTCCCAGTAACATTGTGAAGAGGGCTAGGAGACAGGCGTGGTGGCACAGACCTGTAATCCCAGCACTCTGGAAAGCAAGTTTGAACTCGGCCTGAGCAATTTAGCAAGACCTTTTATCAAAAA